TGGTAACTATTTGTCAGCTCAGTGCTTTTTGTTTTTTCTGTAGCTGATTCCGTTGCGGTTCTGCTCGGACACGTCAAGACAAGTCAAGACGTCATTTGCCGTCCCGTTGCGTGTGCTCCAGCAGATCTCGAGGTGGCTCTTCCGATCTCAAGCACGCTCCCAACCATCATTCACGAGGCAGTCAGAGTCAGCGCATCAGTGAGTAAAGCCAATGGGCGCGGTGAGCGCTTCTACGGAAGGGAATCTCTCCCAACCAACCTCACTGACTCGTCTTGCTTCAGTGTGTCAAGCTGAATAGCTTGGAAGCGAACAGGAGAAAACGGCTAGCAGCAAACCCTGATCGGACGCTTCTTGCCCACTGGGCGAGCCACAGCAAAAACGTCAGGCCCAATTTCATTCATGCACACAGCAAGCAAGCAAAGATGAGAGAGATAGTGAGTCGATGCTAGCCGACAAGACAATCAGACACGCGTTATTCCCCAGATGAGTGCCCTCTGTCTGCCTTCTCAACACCAACGCACAACCTCCCCCATCCCCATTCATTCACTGTGACGCACAGACATAGTCAGCCATCAGGTCGTGTAAAGACAGGCACGCTCCTCTTCTCGTTTCTGCTTCTTCACTCCTCTTCTCGTCTCTGCATCTTTGTCACTCCTCTTCTCGGCTCTGCTTGTTCAGTACTGACGTGCTGGTCATTCCCTGTTGTGTCGAGCTGCTCCTTGTCGTGCCCATCCCGATGCAGCAAAGCAGGAAGGTAGAGGGAAGGGGAAAGAGTAACATGTGTGGAACAGCTCCTCGTCGTCAGCACGTCCACATCACCATGTCGTCGTCCATCATGCCCACCATCTCCGCTCTTCACCATCACAGATACACCATCAACTCGACCCCGACACTGTAGCGGTAATATGGCCGAGTGCAGCTTTTTCTGTAGCTGATTCCGTTGCGGTTCTGCTCGGACACGTCAAGACACTTGAGCTAGAAAACCAGTTTTCCGTTTGTTTCTCGCTGGTGGTGAGCGCTGGGGGCAGATCTCTCGCTCAGATCTTGAGTGATGATGCAACAGCAGCAAGAAGTGCATCGGTAAAGTGCATCCTGCCTGTGCAGGTCAGCTCCTTTCCTCAACGGCTCACCGGGCGAGGAACGAAAACATGGCCACCCCAGACGCTCGTGCACTCAGTCATTCTCGGTTGATCAACGCCACATGCAACGCCGATGTATCCAACGTATTTCTACGAGGTGGAGGCATACGCTGTAGAAACGGCAAATCGACGCTCTTCGCTTCCCTTTTTCATCCCCCGGGCTTCTTTGTTCGCTGCCTTGTTCTTTCTTGTGCCTTCCCTCACTCCCTCACGCATTGTCCGACCGTCATCGTGATGCAGCTCCGACTCTTCGCCGCGCTCTTGTTCCTCGGCCTCCTCAACCTGGCTCGGGCGGCGGAAAATGGCAAGTTTCCGAATGTGAACCCCTTCCCCGACGGTCAACTCAAATGCGAGGGTCAGCCAGCGCCGAGGGACATATCGCTGTTGATACTTCTGCTTGCTACCACGTGTGTGTGCGTGTGGTGGTGTGTGTGTGTGTATGTGCACGTGGGGATTCCCTCATTCAGGTCAGAAGCCAGTACTTGAGAGTCTGCAGATTGTTGAGCTGCTCGGCAGCCCAGAGCCCGCCCCAGGTGGATCACCGCATCGGCGTCTCACAGATGGGATCGAGGCGAGCACCCCAACGCTCGACAAAATCTGCATTGACTTCGAGTGAGACTTGAGACTTCGAATGAGACAGACGGTGCACCGCAAGACTGGCTGTGTTTGAATGTGTGTCGCCGATCAGGGAGTCGGAGGAAATCACGGACGGAGAAACTGTGAAGGTGGGTAAAGACGTTGGTCTCCACTTTACGGTCGCTGCGTGCCCCAAGGTCAGTCATACAGAGAAGCTCTTGTCGCATACTCGCTCTATGTGTGTTGTTTGTTCTGTCTGTCTGTCCATGCAGAAATGCGTGCAGGGCGTTCTGTTCCTCATCTTCGATGCCAACAGTAAGTGCAGCGCACGAGGGACACACGAGGGACACGCGAGGGACACACGAGGGACACGCAATGTGCTGAAGTATCTTGAACGTTTGCTGTGGGATGTCTTGCAGAAAAACTCATCGATTATGACATTTTCCGCCGCCCCGTGAGACAGACAACACTTGACAGACACATGGATGTGATGCGTGCACGTGCGTGTGTGTTGTGTGGTCCTGCAGGAGAACTTCGACTTCCACGACCCGTTCGCTGCCTTTGGCAACAGGGCTGTTCCCGAAAAACCAGGGGCTGTGGACAAGTTTTTCGGTGCTGCGAAGCGTGCGATCAAAGAACCCACCGGCAAGTTCTTCGTGACCGCTATCCCCATCAACGGCGCTCTAGCCGGAGAGGGCATCACCACCGAGAGTGAGTAGTGGGGCCAGCGTGTGACAGACAGACGGACACACAGGCAGGCAGGATGGCTGGCAGGCAAGTATGCATTGATCGAGTGGCTGGCAGGCAAGTATGCATTGATCGAGTGTCTTGTGCTTCGTGTGTACCTGTCCCTCAGTTCTGCTGGGCGCCGAGTCCGAGCCTGACAATGGCGATGACAATGGCGATGCCGATCGCGGCCAGCAGCCCCCCGAGGACGGCAAGAGCGGTGGCGGTGACAATGGCGATGCCGATCGCGGCCAGCAGCCCCCCGAGGACGGCAAGACCGACGAGCAGGGAATGGGAATGAGGCAGCTGTTCGCGGAACTGGGCGAGGGGTTCCTCGCGAAGCGCAACTAGAGCGTGCACTGCGAAGTGAGTGAGCTAGAGAGGGCACTGCAAAGTGAGGAGAGAAGGGGACTCTCCTGCTTGGTCTTTT